AAGTCTATGTAAAGGCACAAAGGTATTGAAGGTTTTTGAAGCACAAGAATGAGGTTTGGGTTGAGTGAAATAGATTTGAGAGTCTTCAACATGTTGAAGTCATGGGAATGAGTGAAATCACACTGAGAGAATGTAAGAGTGAGTAGTAAAGGAGACTTGGATGTTCTTTCAGGTGTGGGTGAAAAAGAACGACTCATCAAAAGATTAATGGTGAAGCAGTCAGAAAGGAAAGGAATAATGATAATTGCTAACATTTATTGAGCACTTGCTGTGTTCCAGGCACTGTGTTAAACGTGGTACATGCACCCTCACAACAACTCTTTGAAGTAGGTGCTATTGTTTATTTTATCATTGAGAAGACAAGTTTAAAAAAATTAACTAACTTACCCAAAATTATGCAACTAGTAAGTGATAGAGCCAGGATTCTAGTGAATACAGTCTTAACTACAGGGCCTACATTCTTATCCACTAGAAAAGGATGGCACGCCAAGGGCAGAATTATTTCCAGGAAGATAGGGTGTAGACATTATTGTCAAATTCTGCAAATGTGTCAGTCAACTTGGTTGAGTTCTAAAAAGGAACACTGGATTCGCCAATTCAGAGGCTGTCACCTGTGAAATATATATAGTTTCAGTTGAGTGTTGGAAGTGGAATCAAGGTACAAAGCCAAACCAGACTCATTGCCAGTGAGTTGATTCTGACTCAGTGACCCTATAGGGACAGAGTAAAACTACCTCATAGAGTTTTCAAGGCCATAAATTTTTTCAGAGGAGCTCTGGTAGCATAGTGCCTAAGGCACTTGACTGCTAACCAGAAGGCTGGCGGTTCAAACCCACCAGCCACTCCTCGGAAGGAAGGTTGGGCAATCCTACTTATGTAGTGATACTGCCTCGGAAACCCGAGGAGGGGTCGCTATGAGTCGGGGCCGACTCGACGGCAAATAACAACAACAACAACAACAAATTTTTTCAGACGCAAACTGCCTCATCTTTCTTCTGTGGTAGGTTCAAACTGCCGACCTTTCGGTTAGCAGCTTTATGCTTGAACCACCATACCAACAGAGCTCCTTAGAACTTAGATGCTCTGCAGTGAAGTATAAGTGGAGTTCAACTTTATGTGCTGATACTATTCTGACTACTCTGTAGTCCCTCTTGCCTGTCAGTTCCTCTGGCATATAAGTGCTTTTCTGTTTTAGGACCTTTTGACTGTGGTAATCCTCCCTGAAGCTTTCTTCCTCTAGATTTTGCTATAATTGGCATCAGTTCATGTAGATCTTGGGTTTATTATACCCTCTGAGTGGTGTTACATTACAGTTTATCTAAAATGATCCTCTCTACATTAATTTCCCTTTAATGTGCTTTTGTGTCTTTTGAGGTATATATGATAATTTATAATTATTCATTGATTTATTAGTTTACTTATTGGCACTCTCCTTGAAAGCAGTGAGTTTATTTTTGTTTTATTTTTTGGTTTTTCTTTCTAGATGTTGAACTCTATGAGGATAAGAGTTGTGTCTTCTTGGTTCATTAATTTCCTCAAAAACTTACCAAATTCAAGAAAATGTTCATTGTTGGTTACCAGGAATGGGAGGGGAGGGGAGAGAACACTGCTACATAGGTAGAGACAAGTATTGATTGGGGTGAAGGGAAGGGCAATGTACTAAATGTGATCAACATGGTGGCATTGAGGAAGAGGAAGACATAGAGAGGTGCATAGGAGGTACAATAAAGATGAACCCTTTTGCACATACAGTACTGCATTGTCAGTGAAGGCAAACATTGATACATGGTTGAATAGGTGGGTGGACAAGTTGAGATATTAGATATGTCTATGCAGGGGGGGAGTGTGCCCATGGCCATGTATAGGGCTGGCAGACAATGTTTCTACAAGTGTATTGTTATGTTCTGTAAGGATTCCCACGTATATATTAGAGCTGACGAGGGACAAGGTTGTTGTCACTTCTTGGCCACAGCCAGCTACCCAGAGGGAACGAATACTTGGACCTGTGGGCTCGGCACTGTAGTTGCAGGGGACATCAGGCTCAATTGGCATGATGTACTACATAAAACATTGTTCCGCATCCTACTTTGACAAGTAGCAACTGGTATCTTAAAAGCTTGCAAGCAGCCATCTAGATGCAATGATGGGTCTCTCCATAGCAAAAAAAAAAAAAAATGAAGAAAACCAAACATTTAGTCCAAGGGACTGGTATACCATGCAATCCTCAGCCTATATGACTATGAGACCAGAAGAACTAGATGGTGCCCGGCTACCACTGTTACGCACTTGGAGGGGGATCTATGTAGGAGATCCTGGATAGAGAACAATGTAGAATAAAATTCAAAATCATTAAAAAAAAAGGGGGGGGGGACCAGGTTTACTGGTCTGATAGAACCTCTGAGACTGTGGCCCCCCTAGCTGCCCTTCAGGTCTGAATTTGAGACCACTCATGTGGCTTCCAGCCAAACAAAAGACAGGCATGTGAGTGAACATTTACATTAGCTAGCTAGACTCCTTGAAGAGCTCAATCTTGGGAGAATCGTAGGGCTGTGTATGCACAGGGGACAGCTTAGGGGCAGGAGTGCATGGGAGGAAAGGATACAGGGAGGAGGTGGCTATGGGGCAGAAGTGGGAGGAGAGCTATTGCATTGTGGGAAATTGCAGTCAATGTCATGAGACAGTGTATGTGAACTGCTGTATGGAAAATGAATTTGCTCTGTAAACTTTTCACTCAGTCATAAATTTACAAAAAAAAAAAAAATCCAACCAAATTCACAGCCATCGAGTCAGTTCAACTCATAGTGACCTCCATTGGGTTTCCAAGGCTCTAAATATTTAGGGGAGCATAGTGTCTCATCTTTCTTAAGTGGAGCAAGTACTGGGTTCGAGCTGCTGATCTTTGGGTTAGCAGCCAAATGCCTTAACCCCTACACCACCAGAGCTCCTTCATTAATATGCCTGTTGTTATTGTTATGTGCTGTTGAGTTGGACCCCACTCATAGTGGCCCTTTGGGTTTCCGAGGCAGTATCACTACGGAAGTAGATTGCCCTATCTTCCTTCTGAGGAGTGGTTGGTGGGTTTGAACCACCAGCCTTCTGGTTAGCAGTTAAGTGCCTTAGGCACTATGCTACCAGAGCTCCTATTAATATGCCTAGGTGTCTCTAATATAGTACTGGAACACTAGTTACCCAGCAAATACTGTTTGCATATATCAGTGAATGAACATGTGTTCATGCAAATGCTAGTATTAAATTGTCTTGTTTTCTTTAAAGTAATTAATATTAGAGAAAAACAAGTTCAGAAAAGCCACAGCTTGAGGAAAAAAATTTAAGGCTGCCTCTTCTTGGAAGTGTCATATATTCAGTAAACATGCTTTTTTTTTTTCACACTACGAATAACATTTCTAGTATATTTAGGAAAAAAAAATTTACCCTCATGGGTCTTTGAATACTGCTCAGGTGATTTTATTAATTGGATGCTAGTTTCATTTTCCTTACTGATTAAGTTAAGAGGTCTTTAAAGTAAAATTGAAGGAGAATGGAAAGGATTCCCAGATGAACCATGAAACCAAACCCAAACCCAGTGCTACTGAGTTGATTCTGACTCATAGTGACCCTTATGGGACAGACTAGAACTGCCCCATAGGGTTTCCAAACGTGTAAATCTTTATGGAAGCAGACTGTCTTATCCTCCTGTGGAACAGCTGGTAGATTCAAACTGTTGACCGTTCGGAAAGTAGCCGAATGCTATAACCAATATAACACCATAGCTCCTTAGATAAGCCATGGAAAATGAAAATGACAGTCTTTGTCCTTAAGAAGTTTACAGTCAAAGGAAAAAGAACATCTTGTAAATAACCTGTAAGCTACAACAGCATAAAGTGGAGGGTTTAATAGTGATAAGAGTCAGAAGAACAATCAGTTAATACAAAGTTAGAAAAGAATTAGAGCTACCAGCCAATGAAATGTTTAGGTAATTTGCCCTTATTAGAGGGCTCAAAGAGAGGCCAATAATTTTGTAGGAACGATCCTTTCCTTTTGTAAGTCTTTCAGTTCCTCCCAATTTTAAGATTCTGTGGGATTAGTCAGAGGCAGAGAAGCATACTTGATCTTGAAAGACTGAATAGAATTTAGATAGATGGATAGAAGGATGTTTTCCTGTCTTTTTTCTCGAGATAAATATGTATTTATATGTAATATGCCTATAAATGCTCATTTTTAAATTACAGTAAACATTTATAGGCTTAACAGAAATGAATCTGCTTTGTGTGAAGGCTCAAATAATATAGATGATGCTGTTCTTATAAAATTTTTTTATTTTTTTAAAGTACATCCAGGGAGGGTTTGATTACAACAGACAATCTAATAAGAGCTACTCCAGTGAAATGAGGCATAGTCAAATTTCTTTGAACTTGCATATTTGCAAGTGATGTTACTGTAAATATGATTTCCTTCTAAAACAGAAATAACATTTTCCTCCTGGTTTTGTGTATTAAATGAGAACCGTAAAGTCAGTTGAGATGTTCAGTGCCAGGTAAGACTTACTAGCTCTGATAACTTCTTGTATATTGGTTCCAAAGCATAAGCAATTTAAGGTTTTGTGTTAGGAAAATGATAAGAGTATATAGAAGCAAATGGTACTTTTAAATAGTTCAGACTACTGTTAAATCCTTACATGTTCTTATTCTTTGCTTGGCTGTCTTCTAGTCATCTTTTGTGTCTCAAGTTAAATGTGATGTTTCCTAGAAGAGGTCTCAGAGCATTAAAATAAATGGTACATATTTATATCTTACTGGTGGAAATAGCATGTATTTGTGTTGAAGCATTTAGTTTTAATCTAAAAATCTCATTTAAAATATGAAATTGCTGAAAATAATTGTGCCTTTGATCACACTTATACCTGGTTGTACAGTTACTTAACTATATATAAATGCCATAAGCAAAATTAATTTTATTTACTTATTTTACAGACAGTGATGCATGGCCTGAAATTCTGAACCATGAGTCTAGCACTTAATGATCTGCTTATTTGCTGCCGTCAACTAGAAAATGATAGAGCTACAGAACGAAGGGTAATAAATTGCTTAAATGTACGCTTCCCTTGAATTAGGTATATAATTGGTAACTTATTATTTTCATTTTTCATTTTCAGAAAGAAATTGAGAAATTTAAGCGTCTGATTCGGGATCCTGAAACAGTTCAGCATTTAGATCGTCATTCAGATTCCAAGCAAGGAAAATTTTTGAACTGGGATGCTGTTTTTAGGTATTTTATTAAAATTTTTTTTTTCTTTCTTGATTTTTTTTCTGTATTTCATTTTTATTTGTTTTGATATTACTTATTTTGTGTGTGTAGGTCTTACTTATTTTTACTGCTTATATACCACAATAGGAGCTCTGGTGGCGTACCACCTAAGGCATTTGACTGCTAACCAGAAGGCTGGTGGTTCAAACCCACCAGCTACTCCTCGGAAAGAAAATTGGTCAATCTACTTCCATAGTGATACCGCCTTGGAAACCCGAGGAGGTGTCTCTATAAGTCAGATCCGACTTGACAGCAGTGATTTTTTTCTTATATTTCACTCTACCTTGCATATGAAATTAGTGCTTCATAATATAACACTAAATTATTTAATGTTTAATAATTTAATTTTTAAAGGAGATTGATGTAGAAAAAAGTTTTCAATTCATTTGTCATTAAGATGTCTTAGTCATATCTCACTCAAAATGGAGAAGAAATTCCTTCCAAATTGATTAGTTCATAAGCTTTATTTCAAATTAGACAATGAAATGAAGCTATAGTAAATACTTTATTATTACTTTCACATCTTCAAATGTTGCTTCTAATAATAAGTAACTACATGTGTTAAATTATAATAAAACAAGTCAGAAGATTAGAATAAAATACTTGCCATGTAGGTGTAGCTGGAAAATAAAACTCAGGCAATGGGAGGACACAATTATTTCTGTACAGGAATGGCAAACAGGTTTGGTACATTTTTACATAGAGATATAATTTCCAGCCATGCAGATCATTTATAACTAGAAACAGATTATGAGTCTTTGGAAAGATGAATAAAATACTTTAAATTAGTGTAGACTCCTGAAGGTGTTTTATACTTGAAATATTTGCACTTGAGAGGAAGTGTATATATTTACTTGTCCTTCAGTGTTCAGAATAATCTATTTTATTTTTTTTGCCGGTTTGATACTAGATTGACCAAAAAAAACCAAACTCACTGCCATTGAGTTAATTTGACTCATAGAGATACCTCCTTGGGTTTCTGAGGCAGTAGCTCTATGGAAGTAGATTGCCCAATCTTCTGAGGAGTGGTTCGTGGTTTGAACTGCCAGCCTTCTGGTTACTAGTCAAAATGCCTTAGGTATTACATGGCCATAGCTCCCACTAGATTGACAGTTATGGTTTAAATACTGATAACATGGGAAATGCATTCTTCCTTTCTTCTTTCTTGGTTTCAGATAATATAATAGAGTTGTTACCTAAGGCTGAATACTATTCTGTATAAGTTGATCAAGTAGGCCAAATGTGGGCCTGGCATTTCCTCATTACTCATGAATATCTTCTAGGCAGGCTTTGTTTAAAGGCTGGAAACATTGTTAACCACTTAGAGAAAGAACTAAGTCATGTACAAAATAATAGGAAAGAGGTGAAAGAAGACTGAGTGCTCTTAATGGCTTTGCAAGCTTTTAATATAAAATGAGAGCAAAGGCAATGAAGCAATAGAAAATCATAGATGTTTTAGATTAAGAGCTTTGAACATCAAACTTTAGATTGGTGTTAGGGCAGTTAGATTCTAAAAAAAAAGATTTAATTATCTAAAAAAAAGATTTAATTATTTAACTGGTACATTGAGCCTAGCAATGTGGTTGGAAAGATGTTCTTTGATGATATGTGAAACTTTTTGAAATTATTATATTTAAGGATTTAATGAGTTTCTGAAATACAATTTTGTTTTTCTTAAAAGATTTCTACAGAAATATATTCAGAAAGAAACAGAATGTCTGAGGATAGCAAAACCAAATGTATCAGCTTCAACACAATCCTCCAGGCAAAAAAAGATGCAAGAAATCAGTAGCTTGGTCAAATACTTCATCAAATGTGCAAATAAAAGTAAGTGAAATATAGATAAATGGCTTAATGGGTTACTGTTGCTTGAGTTTAATCTGAAACTGTTGCAACAAAAGTTGATTGCTAATTTTAAGTTTTACTAAATACAATGATTTTAATACTGTAGGTTCGGATATGGGAGGGAGGGATTTATGCAAGCAAGGAATGATAGAATATCAGGTTTGAAAAATTAAAAATTACTATTTCAACTACTCATGCTTAGATCCCCTCTATATGTTGCTACCACATAGGTAAGAGTGCACCCTTAATAATTAACGATATCTTTTGAGACATTCTATCCTCTTTGAAAAGCTGTAAGTGCAATTAAAACTTTTTTCCATTTGTTGTTTCTACCTTCAAGGTATTACAGAAAAATGCTAATCATTTTTCCCAGCATTCTTTGAGATATTTGAAAATGGCTGTGATATTTTCCAAGTCCTCTAAACTAAACAGACCTACTTCAACTTAAGTATATGACCTAATTTTAGGGGCACTCTTTGTTGAATATTCTTTGGTTTAATTTTATCTCTTTTAAAATGAGAGGCTCAATTTCAATAGCTATCTTCTGATTGGTATAGAGTAGAGAAGACCTCTTTTATTCTAATGCATTCTAAGATCACAATAATTTTCTTGACAGAACCCTCCCTTTCAACTGAGGCTGACAAATAATACATTCTAGGACCTTTTTTGGTCTTGGTAAGCCATTTAGCTGCTGACTTGAACTTGTACAGTTGAATTTGAAGAGTTAACTTTTTTTTTCCTTTAACCCAAAATGCAGGCTCTTGTTTGACTTATATAGAAAAATGAGTTCTACACAATGCTCTAAAGAGAAGCAAAAATATTTAAGGCCTCCAGGGCACTGACTGTTTACTTTTCACATTTAGGAATGTGGCTTTGTGATAACAAGTTTAAGAATCAGTGAAGCCTAATGTTGTTAAACATTTTTAAACAGGAACACATAGATTGTTACCAAATGATAGTTCAGAATAGTGATAATGAATCTTAGGTATATAAGATAGTAGTTTATAAAAAATTTAGCTTTTCACCTCATCTGAGATGCTAGTTTATATCAGTACCTGCAAACCTCTGTCAGGGACACTATCAGAGACAAAAACTATGTGGCAATATTTTGTACCTGCTTTTTTCTTTATCCTGCATGGTAGCCTTGCATCCAGGATAATTTTGTATTTTTTCGTGGTTAACACTGGGGACTTAGTGTGTAGTTATAAAGTGTGAGAGAGACACAGAAATTGAATATGCCAATTTGTAGCCCATCAGAAACATTGGTAGCTTAAAATTTTGCCTTCCAGTAAAAAAAATCTTCAGTTGCAAAATTAACAGTGGTGATCACATTTAAAAATGTATTAATATATCAATATGTTGGTTTATAAGAAAGAGTGCGTTAAGCTATCGAAGTAAGATAATTTAAATGTTTGAAAACTGTTATTTTTATTTAAGGCTTCTTATCCTTTCAAATTTGGTTTTATGACTTAAACATCTTGATGTAGAGGCAAAGTCAAAAAAGCATCTATCACCTCAGCTCCCTTCTTCACTTTTTTTTTTTTTTTTTTTAAGAGTTGATGGATTAAAGAGAATCTAGATACATGTCTAGACTTTGCCAGTCTTGTTTAACATTGGTATCCAAGGTGTAGTGAAAGAAACAGTGATGAGAAAAAAGTAAAGGGCAGCTGGGAAGGAATAAGTAAGCAAGTATTATTCATTCTTTTATGTCAGTCAGCATTTGTTTGCTTCTGCACAAAGCACAGCCTAGAGAATAAAAAACCTACCTGTGAAAAATATTGAGTTCCATGAGTTCTCTTCAAATCTCTGCAGGCAACTTAGTTGTCCTTTTGAGACAGATTTTTTTAGGAAAGAATATAAGCATAAGTTTTGAAAACACTTCTCACAATTGGCAGAGGGAGGATATATATTGGGATAAAGGCATGGGGAAATATGCTTGTGTTCTAATATTTACATAGTTCTTTTGCAAGTGTTTATTGAAGATCTGCTATTGGGGCAGTGATTGGGCTATATGTTAAGGATGTAGAGATTAAATAATTTCTTCCTTGAAGATCTAATAATACAAAGGAAGTTATAGATAAAAAATTGTGATAAGGACTGTAAGAGATACATAGTGTTACATCATAGGCCAGGTGCCTAAAATTATAAAATAAGCCATAGGTGAAAATGATTTTGCAATTATACCAGTATAAATTTATTTACCATAGTTTGATACTTGTGAATATGACATAGTCAGTGTCATCATATCAGAACACAATGTCTAATCTCAGCATAAGAAAATTCTAAAACTAGAATATATTTAGATGTTCATAATAAATTGTACCCTGCTCATAGCTTATAACAAGTAAGTGATGTACAGTTTTAAGACTAAATTAGTACTGAAATACAATAAAATTTCAACTGTGAGTTCAGTATGATTTGCTGAAAATAAGAACTTTTTATAAAATATAGTTTATTTACTTTTAAGGATATATGTCCATTAATGCTAACTTCTCATGATCTCAAATAAGTAATAACTATGTTAAAGTCACAGCTTTACGTATTTGTATGTGACAAATGCTGTTACGGGTCTTGAAAGAAATTTTGTTTCGTAGGGTAAATATCACAGTTTTAGATTTTTCTAAAACGAAATCTTCATAAAGAGTGCCAGGACTGTTTGGATCATTTAAGTCTAATGTTAGAAATTGAATTATTAAGGGCAGAATGGATGATTTTTGTTGTAAATATTTGTATAGGGGTTGGCAGACTTTTTCTGTAAAGGGGCTAAATAGTAAATAGTTTGAGCTTTGCAGGCCATATAGTCTGTTGTATCTATTAATCTCTGCTGTTTTAGTACAAAAGTAGCCATAGATAATACATACATTGATGGGCATGGCTATATTCCAATAAAATTTTATTTACAAGAATGACCTGCTGGCGGGACCATAGTCTCAGGGGACATCAAGCTTAATTGGCATAACATACTACACAAAACATTGTTCCACCTCCCACTTTGGCAAGTAGCAACTGGGATCTTAAAAGCTTGCAAGCTGCCATCTAGGTGCACTGATGGGTCTCTCCTCGTCTAGAGCAAAGAAGAACGAAGAAAACCAAAAATTAATGGATACAATCAGTCCTAACGGCTGGTACACCATCTGATCTGCAGCCTGTATGACTGTGAGACCAGAAGAACTAGATGATGCCCAGCTACCAATGTCTACCACTTGGAAGAGGATATATGTAGGAGATCCTGGTTAGAGAGGGAGAACAATGTGGAACAAAACTCAAAATCATTTGGAACAAAAAAAAGGGGGGGGGGCAGGTTTGCTGGTCTGATAGAGTCTGGTGGAACCACTGAGACTATGGCCCCTAGTTGCCCTTCAGGTCTGGAATTGAACCCATACCTGTGGCTTCCAGCCAAGCAAAAGACAGGCATATGAGTTGAACATTTACCTGAGTAGCTACACTCCTTGGAGAAAACAACCATGGGAGAAAGAAGGGCTGCTTATGCATTGGGAGACAGCTCAGGGGGGCAGAAGGGCATGGAGGCATGGACACAGGGAAGAGATAATTATCGGGAGGAAGTGGGAGGGGAGCTGTTGCATTGTGGTAAATTGTGGTCAATGTCATGAGACAAAGTGTATATGAACTGCTGTATGAAAAGTGAATTTGCTCTGTAAATTTTCACCCAAATCACAATAAAAAAAAGTGGAGAAAGAAAAAAAAAAAAAGAATGAGCTACTGGTTTAATTTTGCCAGTGGGCCATCCATAGTTTGTCAACCACTGATCACTCTCTAATACCCAAAAATCATAACTACTGCCATCGAGTTGATTCCAACTCACAGTGACCCCCATAGGGTTTCCAGGGCCATAACTCTTTATGGAAAGAGACTGCCTCATCTTTCTTCTGTGGAGCTGCTGGTGAGTTTGAACCACCAACCTTTTGGTTAGCAGCTGAATGCCTTACTGCGGTGCCACCAGAACTCCTTATAAGGCTAATAGTTAAAATAATTTCCCAAGTGACCTTAATTAAATATTAGCATTCCAAGTGTTAGTTTATTTGCTTTAAGATTTATGTTTTGTTTAATTTTTAAATAGGAGCACCCAGGCTAAAATGTCAAGAACTCTTAAATTACATCACGGATACAGTGAAAGATTCGTCTAATCGTGCCATTTATGGAGCTGACTGTAGCAACATACTGCTCAAAGACATTCTTTCAGTGAGAAAATACTGGTGTGAAATATCTCAGCAACAGTGGCTAGGTATGTTTTGAACTTTGTGAATTTTTCCTAGTGTGATGAAATTTCATCAAAAATAGAGTCTATCTGCAGCAACCCCCAGATGACCTCACAGTTTAACAGTACCTAGTATAGTTTCATGGTTAAAATCCGAACCTTGCTTTTTGCTTATTGACTACCTGCAGAATTAAGTGCCTGCTATCCAAACTGGAATGACAGAGTTAAAAGATGGCTATTTCTGCCCTTCAGTTGACAGTCTAGTGGGAGGAAAACCAAAAAGAAAACAATAACAAATCAAAAATTGTGATGCAGTATTATTAATCATATGACAGATACATGTTTGGGTGCATTGGTACATGGAATAATGACAAACTCAGTCATTATTAAAGTAGAAAGAAGGAAAATCAAGAGAGGTGTTACAGAAATGAAAATGAGAATTTAAAGTTGGAAGGGATGTGGTTAATATTTTTAAGTGTTTGGAAAGCTTAAGACACAGAAATATCCATTTGATTAGGCAACTTACAGGTCACTGACAAAGTAAAAAGGAGCTCTGGTGATGCAGTGCCTAAGGCATTTGACGGCTAACTAGAAGGTTGGTGGTTCAAACCACCAAGTATGCAGAAGGAAGATGGAGCAATCTATTTCTGTAAAGATTTACCACCTTGGAAACCTAATGGGGGTCACTATGAGTCAGAATTGACTTAATGGTGCAGTGGGTTTGGTTTGGCAAGGTAATAGGAGCTCTGGTGGTGCAATGGGTAAGTAAGCATTTGGCTGCTAACCAAAAGGTCGGTTTGAACCCACCAGCTCTGCCCCATAGGAGAAAGATGAGGTATTCTGCTTCTGCGAAGATTTATATAAAGCCTTTGAAAACCCTGTGAGACAGTTCTACTTTGTCCTATGGGGTCACTATGACTTGGAATTGATTCAGTGGCAGTGCGTTTGATTTGGTTTTGGTAAAGTAATGGATTTCAAAAATACTGGAATAGAATATACAGGACCCAGTGATTGACTGGACATGCATAATGAGTCTCAGATAGGTACCTAATGTTGCTACCTGCTTATAGATAGGAGATACTGAGAGACCACAAAGGAAGAAAATTGTGACTACAGATTGAAATATTTGAGTTTGTTGGTTTCAAAATGGAGTGGCTCTGGGTCTAACAGGGTTCAGGGGATGAAAATGAGATTTGGCATTAATAAGGTGACTTTCAGTAGACTTGAATCAATGGCCTGCCATGTGGTTTGGTAATATTGGGACTGTGCCTTTTCACTTTTTGACCTTGGGTTTGTCAGCCTCAGCAGCCAGCAGCTGCATGAGTGAAGAGATGCCTTTAGCTTCATTGGGCCAGGAGCAAGAGGCAGAGCTGAAGTCCAGGGTCGAGGGACTTTCACCCAGCTCCTAGAGCCTGGCACTTTGAACTCGAATTTCTAGCCTCCAAAACTGTAAGAATAGACTCCTGTGTGTTAAAGCCATCCATTTGTGGTATCTTCTGTTAGAGTGGCACTAGGTAACCAAAATATACAGGTTGGAAGGCACTCAAAATTCTACTGGGGAAGAGCTGCCTCTTCAGAGTAGAGCTGACTTTAATGATGTGGATGGTGTAAAGCTTTCAAGATCTCCATTTGCTAATGTGGCATGACTCAAAATGAGAAGAAACAGCTGCAAACATCCATTAATAATTGGAGCATGGGATGTATGAAGTATGAATCTAGAAAAATTGGAAGTTGTCAGAAATAAAATGGAACACATAAAGATTGATATCCTAGGCATTAGTGAGCTGAAATGGACTGGATTTGGCCATTTTGAATCAGACAGCCATATGATTTACTATGCCAAGAATGACAAATTGAAGAGGAATGGTGTGATAGTTGGAGCTGCATGTCAACTTGGCTGGACCCCAGTTGTGGGTGGTTTTTCCCATGATGGGATCAGATGACTGAGTTCTGAGTGGCTGGTCTGCCCAAGGGGAGTTTCCCTAGGGGTGTAGCCTGCTTGCAATGATATTCCAAGGACAATCTGGAAGAATGGCATTCCGAACTATAGACTTCCTTGAGTGAGCGGCTCACTGCTCGCCCTGGAGGTCTCAGATTCATCTTTTATTGGAAACAACAACCAATATACTGCATGCCAGCTTGAATCTCTCGGCTCTGCTGTGCTTGCGGGAACCAAGGCGGCTGCTTGCGGGAACCGAGACGGCTCCAAGCCCCATCTCCTCCAGAGACGGACCTTGCGGCTTGGACTCTTCCGCTGTGCTTGCGGGAACCGAGAAGGCTCCAAGCCCCATCTCCTCCAGAGACGGACTTTTCAGCTTGGACTTGTCGGCTTCTATACGCTTGTGAGCCATTTACCTAAGATAAATCTCTCTCTCTCTCTCTCTAAATATATATATATATACCTTGCTGGTTTTTTTTTTGTGTGTGTGTGTGTGTGTGTGTGTTTCTCTAGAGAACCCAATCTAACACAAATGGTGTGACATTCATCATCACAAAGAATGTTTTCAAGATGTGTCTGTCCTGAAGTACAGTGTTGTCAGTGATAGGATAATATCCAAATGCCTATAAGGAAAGCCAGTTAATACTACTATTATTCATATTTATGCACTAGCCACCAAAGCTAAGGATGAGGATATTGAAGATTTTTACCAACTTATGCAGTCTGAAATTGACCAAACATGCAATTAGAATGTGTTGATTATCACTGGTGATTGGAATGCAAAAGTTAGAAAGAAACAAGAATCACCAATTGCTAGAAAACATGGCCTTGGTGATAGAAATAATGCTGGATATCACATGATAGAATTTTGCAAGATCAACGACTTATTCATTGCAAATACGTTTTTTCAACAACACAGATAACAGCTATACATTTGGACTTTGCCAGATGGAGTGCACAGGAATCAGATCAACTACATCTGTGGAAAGAGGTGATGGGGAAGCTCATTATCTTCAGCCAAAACCATACCAGGAGCTGACTGTGGAACAGACCATCGGTTGCTTATATGCAAGTTCAAGTTGAAGCTGAAGATAATTAAAGCAAGTCCACAAAAACCTAAATATGACCTTGATTATGTCTCTCCTGAATTTAGTGACTGTCTGAAGAACAGATTTGAGGCATTGAACACCAGTGACTGAAAACCAGAGGAATTGTGAGATGACATCAAGAACATCATTGATGAAGAAAGCAAAAGGTCGTTAGAAAGACAGGAAAGGAAGAAAAGACCAAAATGGATATCAGAAGAGATTCTGAAACTTGCCCTTTAACAGAGAGTAGCTAAAGCAAATGGAGGAAATGACAAGATAAAAGAGCTCAACAGAAGATTTCAAAGAGCAGCTCTAGAAGACAGAGCCAGTTATTATAATGAAATGTGCAAAGACCTGGAGTTAGAAAACTTAAAGGGAAGAAGAAGCTTGACAATTCTCAAGCTTAAAAATCTGAAGAAAAAATTCAAGCCTCGAGTTGCAATATTGAAAGATTCTATGGGCAAAATATTGAATGATGCAGGAAACATCAAAAGAAGATGGAAGGAATACACAGAGTCACTGTACCAAAAGAATGGGTTGATGTTCATCCATTTCAGGAGGTGGTATAAGATCAAGAACCAATGGTATTGAAGGAAGACGTCAAAGCTACACTGAAGGACTTGGCAAAGAACAAGGCTCCAGAAATTGATGGAATACCCTTTGAGACATTTCGACAAATGGGTGCTGTGCTGTAGGCACTCACTCGTCTATGCCAAGACATTTGGAAGACAGCTTCCTGGCCAACTGACTGGAAAAATCTATTATTTCTCCCCATTTCAAAGAAAAGTGATCCAACTGCATGTGGAAATTATCAAACAGTATTAACATTACACACAAATAAAATCTTGCTAAAGATAATTTAAAAATGGTTGCAGCAGTATGTTGACAAGAGAACTTCCAGAACTGCAAGCTGGATTCAGAAGAGGATGTGGAATGAGGGATATCATTGCTGATGTCAGATGGATCTTGGCTGAAAGCAAAGAATACCAGGAAGATGTTTACTTGTGTTTTACTAACTATGCAAAAGTATTTGATTGTGTGGATCATAACAAATTATGGATAGCATTGAGAAGAATGGGAATTTCAGAACACTTGATTGTCCTCATCAGGAACCCGTGCATAGCATAGACCAGGAGGCTGTTGTTCATACAGAACAAGGGGACACTGCATAGTTTAAAATCAAGAAGGGAGCGTGTCATGGTTATATCCTTTCACCATACTTATTCAATCTTTATGCTGAACAAATAATTTGAGAAGTTGGACTATATGAAGAAGAGCTTGGCATCAGGATTGGAAGAAGACTCCTTAATAACCTGCGATATGCAGACGACACAACTTTGCTTACTGAAAGTGAGGATGACTTGAAGCACTTACTGATGAAGATTAAAGATTTCAGTCTGCAGTATGGATTACATCTCAATGTAAAACGAAAATCCTCATAACTGGACCAATAAGCAGCATCACAATAAATGGAGAAAAGATTGAGGTGGTTAAAAATTTCATATTCTCGGTTCCCCAATCAACACCAGTGGAAGCAGCAGTCAAGACATCAGACAATGTATTGACTGGGCAAATCTGCTGCTTAAAGACCTCTTTTAAGTACTGAAGAAGAAAGATGTCTCCTTGAAAACTAAGGTGTGTCTAACCCAAGTCATGGTATTTTCAGTCACCTCAAATGCATGTGAGAGCTGACAGTGGATGAGGAAGATTGAAGAAGAGTTGACACTTTTGAGTTGTGGAATTGGTGAGGAATATTGAAAGTACCATGGACTGCCAAAAGAATGAACAAATCTGCCCTGGAAGAAGTGTAGCTAAATGCTTCTTGGAAGCGAGAATGGCCAGATTTCATCTCACCTACTTTGGTCATGATATCAGAAGGGACCATTCCCTGGAGAAGGACATCATGCTTGGTAAAGTGGAGGGTCAGCGAAGAATGGGAAGGCCCTCAACAAGATGGATTGACACAGTGGCTACAACCATGGGTTCAGGTATAGGAAGGA